TCCTAACCCCTTGGAGAAATGGTGGAAAAAAGATCTTATTGATTCTGGAACAGTTCCTATGGATTTGAGTATAGCTACCCCCTATTTGTGACCCCACTATTTTAAAAAAAATGAAGTGAAGAGAAAACAAGGATTTTTAAACCCATTAGCCTGACGCCAATAGTAGGGAGTCCATTATAAGAGATTTAATAGTAGAGCACTTGGAAAACATAAGAACTAGAAGCACCAGTAGGCAATACAGTTCCTCAAATCTACTCCGCTATTTAATACGATCATCATGATCTCATATGATCTCATCTTGGCTTCAACTCCACTTTCCTGGCCCAGTCTCCCCAGCCCCCTTTAACCCACTCAGAATTTTAAAAATCTGTCTACCTCCTTAACTTTATTCATGTTCCAGCATCCACCACACTCTGGAGTGGTGAATTTCACAGATTCACAGCGCTCTGAGAGAAGTAGTTCCTCCTCATCTTGGTTTGAAATCTGCCATCCTTTAGCCTAAACCAGGGCCTCCCATTCTGGAATGTCCCACATGGGAAAACATCTGCTCCACATCTATTTTGTCAATCCCTTTTTAGTATATTACATACCTCAATTAGATCTGCCGTCATCCTTCTAAACTCCAGTGAGTGTAAGGCCTAACTTGCTCAACCTCTCCTCACAAGACAAGCCTTTCATCTTTGAAAATAATTTAGTGAACCTTCTCTGAACTACCTTCAATGCAAATACATCCTTCCTCAAAACAATATGCAGTACTTATTTCAAGGACTGCAACTTCCCCCCTTCAGTGGTCGAAAATGCTCTTGACTGCATCTCTTGCATTTCCCACAACGCTGCCTTCATATCCCCTCTCCACAACAAAATCAAAGACAGAATCCCCCCTGTCATTACGTATCACCCCACTAGCCTCCGGATTCAACGTATCATTTTCCGCCACTTCCGTCACCTGCAATCTGACCCCAGAGCCAAGGATATATTTGCCTCTGCACCCCTACCTGCATTCCATAGGGACAACTCTCCACAATTCCCTCATCCACTTCACATTCCCCACTAGCCCCACTACCCCCGGCACCTTTCCCTGCAACCGCAGGAAGTGCTACACCTGCCCCTACACCTCCCCCCTCACCTGCATCCAAGGAACCAAAAACACTTCCACATCAGACAGTTGTTCACCTGCACATCCGCTCATGTGGTCTACTGCATCTGCTGCTCCCGATGTGGCCTCCTCTACATCGGTGAGACCAAGTGGAGGCTCAGAGACCGCTTTGAAGAGCACCTGCACTCTGTTCGCGACAAACAACAACACTTTCCAGTCGCAAACCACTTCAACTCCCCCTCCCACTCCCTGGACGATACGTCCACCTGGCAGTGTCACAACGACGCCAGCCGGAAACTGGAGGAGCAGCACCTCATATTCCGCCTTGAAAGCCTACAACCCAATGGTCTCAATGTGGACTTTACTAGTTTCAAAATCTCCCCAGCCCTGGCCTCATCCCATGACCAGCCCTCCCGCTCATTCCCGCCTCCTTGACCTGACACAACCTGTCTGTCTTCTCTCTCACCTACCCGCTCCTCCCACTTCACTGACCAATCCCCTCCACTGCCTACCTGCACTCACCTATCACCATCCCATCTACCTTCCCCAGCCTACCCCTCCTCTCTCTATTTATTTCAAAGCTCCCTTCCCCCTCCCCCATTTCTGAAGGAGGGTCCCGACCCAAAACGTCAGCTTTCTTGCTCCTCTGATCCTGCCTGGCCCGCTGTGTTCCTCCAGCTCCACACTGTGTTATCTCTGACTCCAGCATCAGCAGTTCTTACTATCTCTGATGCAGTACTTCAGGTGTGGTCTCATCAATGCCTTGTACAATTGCAACATTTCCCTGCATTTATACTCTATTCTTTTAGCAACAAATATCAAAAATTCATTTGCCTTCTTTATTACCTTCTGTACCTGCAATACTAACTTTCTGTGTTTCATTCATGAAGACACTTATTGAGATGAGAATCATTCCAGTTCCTTAATTTATTGGAGAGAAATACAAGCAAACTTTCAAGTTCCTGTCCATGCAGACAATAAGTTGCCTTTTTATTCTTCCAACTAAAACGGATAACCTCATACTTATTCATGTTAAACTCTGTCTGCTAAATTTTAGCCCATTCACCTGACCTATCCATATCCATATACAAATATCATATCTTTTATTGCCACTTACTTTCCCAACTATTTTAGTGTCACCTGCAGATTTGGCTGCAGTGCTTTCTATTCAGCATCATGTCATTGATATAACTTGTAAATTGTTGGGGCCCGAGGACCGAACCCCTGTGGCACCACACTAGATACAGCTTGCTGATGAGTAAAAGACTTATTTATATCGATTCTCTGTTTCCTGCTGGTTAGCCAATTGTCTATCCAGTTAATAAATTACATCTATTGCTGTATGATCTTACCTACCTTGTGTACTAACCTTTTACGTAGCACCTTATCCAATGCTTTCTGAACGTTCAAATATACAACTCAAATAACTCAATGGATCCCCATTCTCCAGTTCACTTGTTTATTCTTCAAAGAATTCTAGTGAATTAATCAAATATGATTTCCATTTATAAAACTGTGCTGATTCTGACAGATTGTGTCTTGACTTTCCAAATGTCCAGTTACTAGTTCCTTAATAATGGATTCCAACAATTTCTCAATGACAGATGTTGAACAATCTGGCCTATTGTTTGAGTTCTGAAGAGGAGTCACTGGACCTGAATGTTAACTCTGCGTTCTCTCCACAGATGCTGCCATACCTGCTGAGTTTTCCCAGAAATTTCTAATTTTGGTCGACAACAGCAGGCCAGAAGCTAGCAATAACTGTGGTTAGAAACTCACCTCCTGACTGCTCAACACCTGTCCACCATCTACAAGCCACAAGTCAGGAGTGTGATGGAACACTCCTTATTTGCCTGGATGAGTGTCGCCCCAACAGCACTCAAGAAGCTTTACATCATCCAGGACAAAGCAGCCTGCTTGATTGGCACTGCATCCACAAGTATCCTCCCTACACTACCGATGCTCAGTAGCAGCAGTGTGTACCACCTACAAGATGCACTGCAGAAAGATCCTCAGGCAACACCTTCCAAACCCACAACCACTTCGATCTAGAAGGACAGGGGCAGCAGATATATGGGAAAACCACCACCTCCAATTTCCCCTCCAAGCCACTCACCGTCCTGAATTGGAAATATATTGCCATTCCTTCACTGTCGCTGGGTCAAAATCCTAGAATTCCCTCCCTAATAGCATTGTGGGTCAACTCACAGCAGTTGAACTGCAGCGGTTGAAGAAGACAGCTCACCACCACCTTCTCAAGGGCAACTTGGGATGGGTAAGAAATTCTGACCCAGCCAGCGATGTCCACATTCCACACATGAATAAGAAAAGACTTTCCTACTTTCTGCCTCCCTGCCTTTTTGAATAACAGTGTTACATTGGCATTTCTTCAATCCACTGGAAGGTTTCCAGAATCCAGAGAATTGTGGAACATTATAATCAGTACTTCTGCTATCTCTGCTGCTACATCCTTTAAGGCCCTAGGATGTAGGCTATCAGGCCCTGGGAATTTGTCTGCTTTTGATCCCAATAGTTTGTGCAGTACTTTTCCCCTAGTGATTGTCTTAAATTCCTGCTTTGCTCCAATGTCCATCAACATTACCTGATAGTATTGCGATGGTCCAGTGTCCTCCACCATGAAAACTGAGGCAAAATATTGATTTAGTGTCTGCCATTTCTATGTTCCCCGCTATCAACTCCCAGTCTCATCTAAGGGACTAGTATTCACTTTTTGACTACTTTTAGCTCCTCGATTTTCTTTTACATACTCACTATTACAGCTATTTACAGCTGTTTTTATTCGGTCATTAGCATTATGTGAAGTAAACAAATAATTCTATAACTAAGGAAAAGCCCAAATTCGAAACTGTTGGGTCAAACATTTTAACGTTGGACAGTTCAAATGTGAACCAGACGATGGAGGAGAGGTGCCAAGGCCACCAGGCTTTTACCAGGTGAAATAATGAGGTCTTTCTTATTGCCATCCCACAATATCCGTTCGGATCTTAAAACTCATTCTGTTCTCAAACAATGCCCATATTAGTGCATGGGTATTATCGCTTTACGTTTTAAAATTCTGTTCTTTTGTATATGTTGGAATTTATTGACAAATGATTTTTTTGAAAAGGTAGGAGTGAAGCCAATAATCACATTTGAGAATGTTCATGAAATATCTAACGATAAAGGCCCTTTGCAGCTGAATGTCATCAATTTGTAAAACTGGAATTCGGCTCTGACAGCGGAGATGACGGCGAAATGTGGCGCTGATTTATTCAGATACTATCAGTTTGCGATTCTCATTTTAATTCCGTGAAGCATGGAATTGCTCATTTCGTGCGAGTGCAGTCAGGCGAAGAACACTTGACATGAAAGGGTCATACCCTTGAACTGCTTGAAAATACCTGGCGCTATTTGCACATTCTCCCTGATTCTGCGTGGATTTCCTCCGGGTGCTCCGGTTTCCTCCCACTGTCCAAAGATGTGCAGGTTAGGTGGATTGGCCATTCTAAATTGCCCATAGTGTTCAGGGATGCGTAGATTAGGTAGGTTAAAGGGGGATGGGTCTGGGTGGGATGATCTCAGGGTCAGTGTGGACTTGTTGGGCCGAAGGGCCTGTTTCCGCACTGTAGGGATTCAATGGATTTCCCATCGAAACCGGGCAGAATGCGTGCACAGATTTTAATCCAGCCCCTGCAAAAAGGGATTATTTTGAACGTTTGAATACTATGTGCCAGAAAATTATGAATTTGTGGATGTTATTACAGTTCATTTCATTTAAAAATATAAAGTCAGGGCCTCGAACGCACATTTCTTTCAATTAACACAAAAGACAACAGAATTGGACACTTATTCAGATAAATGTAAAGAGAAATTGGAGACGCCAATCCGCAGTAAATTCACTTACCCTTCGTCTGTTAATAGAAATATGAATCCGCTGCCTGAACTTCTATCCAATGGTTAATAAATGCAACAGTTAATCATAATTCAAGGATTTGCTTCCGCTCTTGCGCATGAAAACGAATCAAGGAAAAACAGTTGCAACACAACAAATGTTTAGAAAAAAAGACGGAGCTGCAATTTATGTAAAATATTCAATCCAAAATAGCAGACCAGAAAGAAAACAGCGCGTCCAGCTTGAGAACCGTATCCAGCGGTCGTCGTTCAAAATCACGAAATAATTCGAGAGAGATTTGGACAAAGGCTAGCACACTGCCGCCTAGCGCTAGCCCCAGGAAGGACACCGAGGGACAGGCGCTGCTCATTTTCCTAAACAGAACCGAATAGACCGTCGCACGTACGCGCATCGCGGCGAGAAAGCAACCGGGATCCCGGGAGCGAGCACAGAACAACAACAGGAGATGGAGCAGATTGCAGATCGGGGGTGGTATATGGGGAGAGAATGGAGTATGAGAGTGTATATCACGAAAATGTTTAAAATCCGAGGGCTCAAAGAAACATTCATGATGGTGAAACGATTTATCTAGTGGTCAGGATCCGGCGCTCTCACCGCCGCGGCCCGGGTTCGTTTCCCGGTCAGGGCGGCACAGTGGTTCAGTGGTTAGCACTGCTGCCTCAGCGCCAGCGACCCGGGTTCGATTCTACTCTCAGGCTAAATTGCCCGTAGTGTTCCGGGATATGTAAATTAGGGTTATAGGGGGATGGGCTTGGGTGGGATCTTCTGAGGGTTGTTTTGGACTTGTTGGGTCGAAAGGCCTGTTTCTACACTGTACAGATTCTATGAATGCGAGTGTGCAAGGTCACAATGTAAAGTGGATTGAAGGAAAGCCTTAGAAGTGCATCTGGTCTATGCAGGTTGTATAAGAAAACTGTCCGATTTGCTGTGCTTTTCCTTCGGCCCATCGAGTCTGCACCATTCAGCAAACATCTATCTATTAGAATCACGTTTCCCAGCACCTGGCCTGTATATTATGACGTTTCAAATGCTCATCTAAACAGTACTTAAATGTATTGACAGTTCCCTTTTAGGCAGTTACTTCCAGATACTCAACCTTTTGGATGAAAAAAGTCTTTCGTGAAATCCCCTGTAAATCTTCTGTTCCTTGCCTTAAAACTGTGCCACCTGGTTATTTGCCTCGCCACAAAAGGGAAAAGTTTCTCCTTATCTACTCAGTCTACGCTCCTCAGAACTTCGTACACCTCAATAAGGTTCACCCCTTCACCCACTTTTGCTGTTTGGAAAACAACCTCAGCCTATTCTGAGGAAGGGTCAGCAGACCTGACAGTTAACTCTGAGTTCTCATCACAGATGCTGCCAGACCCACTGAGCTTTTCGAGCAATTTCCGCTTTTGTTTCTGATTTACAGTATCCGCAGTTCTTTCGCCTTATATTCGCTTCTCTTCATGGCTGAATCAGTCCAGCCCAGGCAATGTCTTGGTAGAATCTCCTCTCCACCCTCTCTCGTGCAATCATAGAACATAGAACATAGAACATTACAGCGCAGTACAGGCCCTTCGGCCCTCGATGTTGCGCTGACCTGTGAAACCAATCTGAAGCCCATCTAACCTAAACTATTCCATTATCATCCATATGTTTATCCAATGACCATTTAAATGCCCTTAAAGTGGGCGAATCTACTATTTTTGCAGGCAGGGCATTCCACGCCCTTACTACTCTCTGAGTACCCTTCCGAAAGCATGGTGACCAGAACTTCATACAGTACTCCAGCTGTGGCCTCACTAACATTATATACAGCTCCAACGTAGCCTCTCTGCTCTTGTATTCAATACATAAGACATTAAGAAGTAGGAGATGAGAAAGGCCATTCAGTCCATTATGCCTACTCCATCATTCAATGAGAACATGGCTGATTTGATAATCACCAATTCCACTTTTGTGCCTTTTTCCCATAACCCTTGATTTCCTTACTGATTAAAAATTTGTCTCTCCCAACCTTGAATATACTTAATGACTCAGTCTCAACAGCTCTCTGTAATAAAGAATTCCGCAGATTCACTATCCTCAGAGACAAGAAATTTCCCTTCATCTCGATCTAAATGTGCCATCCTTTATTCTGAGATAATGTCCTCTGGTCTTAAGCTGTTCAACAAGGAAAACAACCTTACCCCATCCACCCTGTCAAGCCCCCCAAAAATCTGTTTCAATAAGGTTGGCAATTATCCTTCTGAGCCCCAATGAGTACAGGCCCATGTACTGAACCTCCCCACATAAGACAATACTCCCTAGCCGGTATCAGTCCAGGTAACCTTCTCTAGACTGCCTCCAGTGTCAGAATTCCTTTCCTTAGATAAAGGACCTAAAACTGTTCACAATATTCCAGCCGTGGTGTGACTAATGCCTTGTATAGTGTTATGGCCAGGGATAGCAAGCCAAACCAAATCAGCCTTACCAACACTGGGTTCACAACAGTGAAATTAAAAAAAATTGAATGACTCTGAAAATTTGCACAAGTAACAGATCTTGGAAACTAAGTTTATAAAAAATTATCTACCTGTCTTGCTGCTTTCCAAAACCTATAGAAATTCACACCCAGGTCCCTTTGATCCTCTGCGCATCCTAGGTCCTACCATTCAATGTGTACTCCCTTGCCTTGTTAATCCTCCCAAATCCATCGCCTCATACTTTTCAGGATCAAATTCCATTTGCCACTATTCACTCCATCTGGCCAGGCCACCTACAAGATCCAACAGTCTCAGGGTTTCCTCTTTGCTACATACTACATCACAAATTTTCATATCATCTGCAAACCTATTGATTATACTGCCTAAACTGTTCCATTCAAGGCAACATTCTGACAAGTTTCCTCTGCATCCCCTCTAGTGCAATCACATCCTTCCTATAGTATGGTGACCACAACTGCACATAGTACTCTAGCTGTAGCCTCACCAAGGTCCTGTACAAATCCAAAAAAAATCCCTGCGCTGATAATCTATACCCTGACTGATAAAGACAAGTGTCCCAGATACCTTTTTAGCTGCCCTACCAACCTGCCCCGCACTATAGGAATCAGTTAGATCTGACATCAAGTTCCATAGAGCCTTCCTTAGCATAAAAGAGTTAAATTTTTTTATCTGCACTTTTAAGTGGCAAATTTGTAGACTGATGAATGAAATAACTTAAAATCAAATAAATTTATCAAAAAGGAAAATGTAACATTCTACTCTAGTACTTCTTGTAGTGGATCCTCCAAGAGTGGAGTGTGAATCTGCAGGAAGTGGTGAGGGAACATACAGGAGGGGAAATCTACTTGATTTCATCCTTACCAATGTACCTGTCCTACCTGCAGATACTCTTCTCTATAACAGTAATGAGAGGGTCCCACTCATCCCGTCCAAATACTTGTCCAGATGGGATGGATTCAGAACAAATCAACAATTTAAAAACAGTAGCCATGAATTTTTTTGGGGTAGCAACAGAACTATATTCAACTACAATCTGTAAATTCATGGCCGGCGAAGATCTTGTTGAGTGGTAGAGCAACCCAATGGCCTCCTTCTCTTCATAACACTTATATCCATACATTTCCCCTCTATACCATTAACGCCAAGTTGGGGTTCAATCCAGGCTCTGTGAAAAGTACAATAAAACCAATTATACAATGTACAATGGAGAGCATGCTAGGAGCAACATTTGGAGATAACTGACAATAAGATACCAACTTGGTAAAGTTAGAATACAGATTGAGTGAAAACTAAACAGTGGAAACAACACGCAATAAGCAGAGTTAAGTATTTTTGCAGCCAATGAATCAGATCTAAACTCTGCAGTCCTGCCACATCTGGTTGTGGATGGTGATGGACAATTCAATAACTGAAGGAGAAGCGTCCACAAATATCTCCGTCCTCAAAAATGGGGCAGCCCAACTCATCGGTGCAAAGTCAGCCAGAAGTGCCAAGTGGATGATCTAATTCAGCCTTCTCTAGAGATCCTCCGTATCATAGATGTCAATCTTCAAACAATTTGATTCACTCCATTTGATATCAAGAAGTGGTTGAAGGTACTGGATACTGTCAGTGGGCTCAGACAATATTCTTTCATCAGTACTGAAGACTTGTGCTCCAGCTCAAACCTTCACCAAGCCAGGATGCTCCACTGCAGTGACAACACTGGCATCAAAACAAAAATGTGGAAATTTGATAACAAGTGCCCTGTGCACAGAAGTTAGGATGAATTCAATGCAGCCAATTAATAGCAATGAAACTGTCCCCACCAGTATTGCATCCTAGTGTAATACAGTGACAGACCTGTGTTAGGGTTAGTATTATTGTTAAGGTTAGGATTTACGGTTAGGGTTATGGTTGGGTCAGTGTTAGGGTTAATTTTAGCTTTAGGGTCGGGCTTCAGGCTAGAGTTAGGGTCATGGCTAGTGTTAAGGTGAGTGTGGGTTAGTGTTAGCATTGGGGTCAGGGCCAGGGTCAGTGTCACAGTCAGGGTTAGCATCAGTGTCAGGGTCAGAGCCTGGGCTAGGGTTAGTGTTAGGTTTCAGGTTGGCATTAGGGTGAGAGTTATTATTAGAGTTAAGGCTAGGGTTAGGGCTAGGATTTGGATTAGGGTTAGGGTGTGTGTTAGGATTAAGGTTAAGGTTAAGGTTAAGCCTAGGGTTAGGCTGAAGGGTGGGGTTAGGGGTATGTTTACGTTTAATGTTAGGGTTAGGGTTAATGATAGGTTTATGGTTAGGCTTCAGGCTAGGGCTAAGTTCATGGCTATTTTTAAGGTGAGTGTAGGGTTAGAGGCAGTGTTAGGTTCAGGTATAGGCTTGTGGTTAGTGTTCGCAGCAGGGTTAGGATTAGACTTACCGTTAGGGTTATTAGGTTAGGGTTTACAGTTAGAGTTATGGTTGGGTAATTGTTAGGATTAATGTTAGGTGTTGGGTTAGGCTTCAGGCCAGAGTTAGGTTCATGGCTGGTGTTTGGGTGAGTATCGGGTTAGCGGTAGTGTTAAGGTCAGTTTTAGAGCTAGGATTAGGGTTTGGGCTCGGGGTGGGTTAGGTGAGGGTTAGGGTTAGGTTTAGGGTTAGGTTTCGGGTTAGGGTTAGGATGAGTGTTAGGATTAGAGTTAGGGTTAGGGTTACGGTTAACGTTAGGGCTCAGGCTTGGTT